GTGTGTGTGTGTGTGTGTGTGTGTGTGAGAGAGAGAGAGAGAGAGAGAGAGAGAGAGAGAGAGAGAGAGANTGTGTGTGTGTGTGTGTGTGTGTGTGTGTGTGTGTGTGAGAGAGAGAGAGAGAGAGAGAGAGAGAGAGAGAGAGAGAGAGAGAGAGAGAGATCTGGAACTGCTGCAGATGTTTGACTCGAAGAAACTTTGAATCGGGTGTTAAGCAGCTGCTCTTATATTGTCTGCCCTTTATCTGTTTCATCTTTCTTCTCCTTTTTCTTCTTCTTTGCATTCTTCCACCTCATACTGTCGTCTACCTCGTCTTCCATGATGTATGTATGCTGCTACTTATGGGCCTGCACCCCCCACCTTCCCCCACCCCCACCCCAAACCCACCCCCAACCCCACCCCACCCAAAATGAAATTCCTGACTTCGCAAGTTTTATTGCGGAATCCGACAGATCTCAGCGAGCGCAATTGGATGCCGTAATCAGAAAAAAAAAAATAAAAAAAAATTGGGCATTTTTTTGGGACATCTGGTTTTGCCGGTTCACCCCCCCTGGACCGGTCCGGGCCCGGTTGGACCGGGGCAGGTGATCCGCCCGGTTGCTGGCCCAGCCCCGGCCCCACCTGTTCATCACCTCTTACGTACAAGGCCAGCCACGTGGATGACAGGTTGAGCTATAGCTATATATATAGGCTATATATATATAGCCATATATATATTATACATATGTATAGTCAAACAGAGCTGCCCGGTAAACCGTAGGCAGAGAGGGAGAAGAGGACAACAAACGAGGGGCTGTGGCAAACTGTTTATCTATATATGAGACAGAGAGAGGCCAATGTTTGGCACCCAATCTGAAATTCTGAAGGGCACCGAACCCCTTTTCCGACCTCGCTGAGAAACTTTCTTGAGAAACACTTCTATGGGACACTAGCCCTGTTTTGCCGCCTCTGTCTCTAATCCGGCTGCGTCGCTCTCATCTCTCTGTCCTTTTCCCTTCCAATGCCCCCGTTCCATCTGCTGTCGGGTCAAATTTTCCTCCCTTTGTCAGCTGTGGCCGTGGGCCGCAGCACACCCGTTAACGTGTTACAATTAAAATTTAGAAAAACAAGCGGATGCCCACCACAGACGCGGCAGAGACCAAGAGGGGGAAAAAGAAACACATAGCCAACATCAGCAACAGTTCAGTCCTTGCCAAGGTTAGGCAGCACCAAGCGGGGGGAGCTGTATTCAGTGGCCCAGTTGAGAGTACGTAGGGCTGGTCGCACCATGTGGGGCCAGAGCAAGCCAACTATCTCAGTTGGCTGGCACCAAGAGTGCCACAGGCGGTCAGTAGGGATTGAACCCACGACCTGCTGAGTGCCACTTGGGTGCCTAACCAACCTAGGCCGCTTGCTTAACACTACATCCTAAATCAGGTACGCCGGGTCAGTTCTACGATGTAAGACCCCTGGGTTGTTTGTTGACGGTTCCCGCCCTCAATGTCATTATGGTACATCCATAATGGAAGGCTCCACTCCCCCCCCCCCCACAAAAAAAATAAAAAAACACGCGCCTTAAAAAAAAGAAAAAACAAAAAGCACCTGAGAGACTGCGAAACGGCCCAAGGGTAAAACTGAGGGCCTCGCTCCACTACTTACCATATGCAGAGGATCTGTTCCAAGCGAAGAAATATGGTAAAGCTGAGGGCCTTGCTCCACTACTCACCATATGCAGAAAATCCGTTCCAAGAGATGATTGGTATGGCCCCTGCGTGGCCAGGCGGCCTAGCTCAGTTCGTTGAGCTCGTAAGTGGTACACAGGAGGCCGTGGGTTCGATTCCCCACGACCCCCTGCGAGGCATACTTCGGGTTAACCGACTGAGAAAGTCGGCTTGTCCCTCCTGGCTGGTCGTGGAAGTGTTGGGTCTCACTTTCCAGTACACGCCACCTGTCATGAGCATGAGTGCTGCTCCCCACACAGAGCAGAGTTAGGTAGGCATAGACCAATAACCCCAGGATAGCTTAGGCCTAGGTAGTAGATTTAAGGCTGGTCCTCTGAATAGAGTAGTTGCTGTAGCCCTAGAACTCTAGTCTAGACCCTAGATCCCCTTGTTGTGTGGATGGGCAAATGTTTGTCCGGGGTCAGTAATAGGAGGTAATCCCTTCCTTGCCTGTCTGGGGTAGGTAGTGCGAGGTACAATACTCCGCGAAGATGATAGCACAGTAAAAAATGTGCCTATCCCCTATATGAGGTCAAGACAAGTCTGCATTTATGATTTATATGATGAGAAAACAAAACAAAAAGAAGTATGGCCCCTGCATATGGATGATTCCCATGTTTTAGCGGTAGATACATTATCACTTTGCACCTTTCCTGAGTAGTGGAGCGAGGCCCTAAATAACCCATCGCGTGGTCGTAAATTTAAAGAGAAAAAACAAGACAAAAAATAATAATAATAAATTTCAATAAAAAGGGAAAAAAAAGTGGCGCTGCATCTTCCCATGTTTTAGCCGTAGATTCATTATCAGGTTGCACATTTTGTGAGTAGTGCAGTGAGGCCCTAAGGAACCCACCGCGTGACTGTGCAGGCAGAAAACAACAAAAACAAAAAAGGAAAAACCGCAGCGACGTGCAGTGCAGTGGCAGAAATCAAGCTTCGATCGCAGAGGAAATCTGGTTTTGACAGAGTGGGTAGGAAGAAGGGCCTTGAGAGAGTTAGCTATCGATCCCAAAGCGTGGGAGTGGAGAGGTAATGGAGGACCACAGCTGGGCACGCAGAAGATGGATCTGTCCAACTTTTCTGTTTGGCAATCATACACTCTGGCAGAACGCAAGAACAGATCTTCGGCAGGTGTTGCAGTGTCCAGGTGGAGTGCCGTATTGATGGATGATCTGCAAGGGAAAGAAGGGGACTTTGAGAAATTGTGGAAGGTTCTCCATATCCTTCCAGATTTGCGGCTCTCAAGTCTCCTCTGGATGCTGTCGCTGCTGGTTACGCCCTCAGCAGTGTGGCTGTGCAGCAGAGGGATGGAGATTCCCCTGCGTTGCTCCAGATGCTCCTGGGCTTTCGGGTCGACCAGGCATCTGTGGTGGGATTGCCCTGCCTCTAAAAGGGTCTGGAAATGGTGGGAAGACCATTGGAACAGACTGGGGGGAGTAGGCATTGAGTGGGATGAACGTTGGGTTCTGTTGGGACTGGTACAGGAGGAGCATCCGGGGACGAAGGGATGGCCCTAGGTAGCCCAAGTAACGAGGGGGGTTATCTGTTCAGTTATCTGGGCAGATAGGAACTGGTCCAGATTCGAGAGGAGGCCATTCTCAGATCGAGAAATCTAGGCGGCGATAAAGCAAGGCCTGAGAAGGGCGCTGTGGGCAGATTGGAAGAAGAAGGCTAAGTGTGGGAAAGGCTCCAGACAGCAACTCTGGTGGTTTCTGCGATCTTGGGCCAAAGGGAACCAATTGGCAGGGGTTCACTCCTCTCGTGGACTGATAGTTTCCAAGTGGCTGACAGGGTAAGTAAGTGGAGTAGGAAGACGTGTCTACGAACCAGGGTATCTCGGTTTGAGGTGCCGACCGCAGGAGGTCACTCAGGGGTGGGGGGTGGTAGAGTACCATGGTTACTAGGAACTCTAGTTCCAACCGGTCATCTTAGGCTGGTGTCAGGCCGTATAGGCCTGTGTAATATGAGATAGGTTATGTAGGTACTTTGGTATTAGTGTGGCTCTTATCACAGTATAAGTAAGGATAGTCAGTGGTTGGTTGCTTTAATTAGGATTGGGGAGAATGGATGTAGCAGTGAGACTAGAACGAGTGGTGGTTGCATGTAGAGGCTATGCACCTCTGATGTTCTTTAGTTGTTTGAAGGAGAACCCAGCCCTGGTGGCTGTAAGTGAAACCGGCTGAAGCCGGGATAACTCCGGGTTGAATTGTGAGGTCCCCGGCCTCTTTGCAAGTTTTTTTAAATGAAGTTTATGTGAAAAAAAAAATAAAAAAAATCCACTACTCACCACATGCAGACAAGATAAAAAAAATATGGCGGTGCATCTTCCTATGTTTTAAGGAAAGATTCATGATCAATTTGCCCATGGTCCTATAGAACCCACCACATGGCTGTGGCAGCAGAAAAAAACAACAAAACAAAAAGAAAAAAACAAAACGAGGTACAGCGCGTTGACAGAAAACGGCATCAGAACAACAACAACAAAAAAAAAAAAAACACTGAAAAAAACAAAACGAGGTACAGTGCGTTGACAGAAAACGGCATCAGAACAATAACAGCAACAAAAAAAAAAAACACTGTGTGTGGCATGGCTGCTATGTACTTGCATAAGTGGTATTCCAACATGCGCTGGCGCATTTGCCAGTGTCCGTCCCGAGCGGGCCCTCCCCAACTCCGAACAGCAACTCCGCCCGCCCAGGTCCCACAGCAGCCCGGGTCTCGTGTGACGGGCATGGGCCGCACCGCACCCATTAACTTGTTACAACAGGAGGGTGGTATCTGTCCAAGATGACAACCGAGGACCAGGGCTACACGACAGCAGACAAAGAAAGAGCCCATTCCCCCCAGCTGGAACAGGGGCCAGTGGGGGATGAGGCCCGCCCTCCCATTCTGCAAGCAACTTCAAACAGCCTAGCTCCCCCACGCCTCGGGGGGTACAGGCAACATGCAACATTAAGGATAGGAAATCCTGAGTACATGAGTCAATTGTCTCATCACCGTCAGTTCTGGGAATGTTTTGTAATATGTGGGACACTGGACCCAGTTTCCAGCAGGTGTTGCTCCCCACCAATAGATGGAGCCTTCAACCGCGGAGCCACTTAGGGAGGCTGCTCATATCACCTCCCTAAGTGGTGTCCACGACTCAAAGTTTTCCTTTAAAAAAAAAAAAAAAAAAAAAAAGGTAGAAAAAGAAAACAGGCTGTCACTGTACAGAGCGGAAAGACAACAGGATTGGAGTCGACTGTAAAACATTGAAAAGGAAATTCAAAATACTAAAAGATTGGAATGACGCACACGCACCTTGGGCAGGGGCTTCATTCGGGATGACGAAAGAGGCTGGTCTGGATTTGGTGGTTTGTCATCAATGTCCTGAAAAAAAAGAAAGAAATCCCAAGTGAGTTTAGGAAGGAAGATTTGGTGATTTGCCACCAATATCCAAAATATGGAAATCAAGCACAGATTTCCATGAACACAGAATGAAAAATAAAAATGTTGTAAAATCCCCAACTTTTTTATTTTATTTTTTACAAGTGGACCCCCCGCAGCTACGCTGCGGCGCAGAGGAGGGGGCGCAGGGCGGGAAGCGCCCTTTTTTTCGCGGCACACCAATTCTGTGTGTGGATTGCAGAGGATTCGGAAGTGAGTTCAGCATGTTGTTGTAGATGGGGAATGTTACCAACAGGGGTAAGGTCATAGTGAATAGGAAACTTTGCAACAGTTGGGGAGGATGATATGATGTATAGGGAACTCCAATCTCATTTGTAGCTCATGTCTTTGTCATCTCTCTCTCTCTCTCTCTCTCTCTCTCTCTTTTTTTTTTTTTTTCTTTCTATTTTTTTCTCTTTCTTTCTCTCTCTCTCTCTTTGTCTTGCTCTTTGTGTCTCGTGCTCTGTTTCTTTACGCTGTCGGTTCTCTGTATGGACGGGCAAAGAGTAAACTGGCGGGTGTCGTTCCGAGATAGGGAACTCAAAGATTTGCCATGCTGCTTCACTTGCTCCAATTGTACGCATGTCTTGATAGGATTTAATTTCATCATTTGTGTTTATAGCGTCTGTAACCATTGCTCTATCTGGCCCTTTCAGAATATATTCGTACATGTAGCGGCATGCAGCTGTGGATGCACAAATCTCAATATTCAAGTGGCAACGGTAACGAAGGAGCAGGTAAGGATTGTAAAGAACGATCCACGAATTATCGATCAGATGGCCATCTCTGTTAGCAGAGAGTCCTCCATTGACCGGGTCGCGACGTCGATAGATCGGGTAGCCTGTGTCTCCATTCCATGTGGTGCGGTCAGAGAACGGTTTGGGTAAGTAGTGATTGCAGTGGCCGTTGCGAATACACGAGGCAGTCATGTTATGGGGACCGCAAGGGCGATGGACCATGTGTAGAAGGACGAGTTCGTGTAGCTCCGGGTTTTCAGGAAGTTCTGCACGAAGTCGATTTGTTTGGGCGTGGAAATTTTGTGGTCGTCTTTCAAGAGCACAATCAAATGCGCATGCGGAAGACCACGTTTCTGGAACTCGATGACGTACACATACACAGCGGTCGGGCCAAAAATATGAGTCGAACTGATATCATGTATGAGTTGTCGCAGATATCCTCTGAACACACGTGCCACCAGATCCGGCCTATCTGATGGTTGTTGCTCAGCGAGCAGTGCCTCTTGAATTTCAGGCCAGTGTGGATTGCATGTGATCGTAATAAAGAAATCAGGTGCACCAAGCTGCTGAACTGCAGCCATTGCATCTTGGTAACGTCTATGCATGTCTCGTGGACCCCCAGTGAATGTTGCAGGTAGAATAATTCGTTGACCGATGTTTTCGTCATTGTCATGAGAGAAGACCTGATCACGAAGGTTTTGGTAATACTCAGCGTGTATGCCGGTTTGGTGGAGGCGGTTGTACAGGAGTCGTGCATTTTCAATTTTTGCAAAAGCCATGCAAAGATACTCTTGAAACAGGCGCGATGCATGGAATATGGTTGAACGTTCTGTATCACGTGTATTGAGGTGGAATGCATAAAATTCCCGCGCACCAATTCGATGGGTATTGGTGTCCACATGGTCTTGAAGTTCTGCAGACCAGCCATTCTCACCAGAGGGGAAAAGCAAAACGTAACGGAGGGGATCAAAAGCATGGTTGGTGTCAGCAACAGGCACAATGCCACCTCCGCGTCGGTGAACCACAACTTCACGTGTGTTCGGCTCGTCATCCATGAGAAGACATAACTCATGAAGATTTTCTAGTCGATTGTATCTACGTTCATGTTCGGTCAGTGGTCGCTTGTCGGGATCAATCACAACATGTCTGTTTTGAAGCATTTCATCAGGCAGTTCGAAGATTGTGATGAAATCGCGTACCCATCGGTTTGCTTGCAAGAGCAATCTATGGAGTTTTTTTAGCAAATGTTTAAGTGATTGAATAGTAGCAAGCGGTGTGTCTTGCAGAATGCTGAGACCACACAAACGGATGAAAGTGGCACCAATGTCATCTTGTGGATCGTAGATGTATATCTGAGCGAACACAGGCCGTGTATTTTGTTTTGGGAATCAAAGGACCAAGATTGTGATGTAAATGGCCTTCAATTCGTAACATACCAGGGTACGGGCCAGGAGGTGGTGGTGTTTCACGAAGAGTCTGGGACGCAAGAGCAAGTGAAGTGTTCAATGTACGTGCCCGAGAACGAAGAAGTCTACCTTCTTCAGTAGGAGTTTCCCACAATCGAAGAATTTCCTTCGCTGCTGTTCGTGCAGGCGGGTATTCCCACAATGGAGGTTGCATTTTTCCACGTAGCAACAAAGGGATGTCCACTGATGTTCGTAAGACCATTTATCTGCACCGCAATGAACGCAAGGAGTTCTGATTCCCAAAGCAACGATTTCAACACCCAGAAGTTCACACATCAAAATTGATGTGTAGAGACGAGCATGATGTATCCGAGGTTGTACAGTTTCAAGATGAGCTCGTCTAAATCGTTGTTGTCTTTGACGGTGTGAAAGCAAACGTGCTTCTTGTGCTGAACGACGCTGAGCGGTGCGAGAAGATTCTGCATCTATTGGAGTATGATAAAAAAGAAACCGAGAAAAGAAAGGAAAACAGAATGAAGAAGCAGTAAAAACATAAAAGAACACTCAAATAGCCATGGAATTTGATTAAAAAAATCAGATGGCACTTCCGAAATTTGCACTTGTCACTATTTGAAGGATATGACAAAATCATGAATGCGATTTTTGAGCTGTAAAGACAAACTTGATTGCAAAATCAAGTACCGAAAATGTCAATGCATCGAAACGAAACAATAGAAGTAAATTTTAAATAACTTCATTGAAATCAATTGGCAACCATTATTATTGCACTTAAATATCAATTTGCTTTTTTTTTCTGGGACATTCGTTGATCCTCACACAGGCTGCTGATTCGGGATTGAGATATCGTTATCTCGATCTCAATCATGACCGATCTTTCCGGATTTGCATATTGTCAGCCATTGCTATTCCGATCCTTCTCTCTCTCTCTCTCTCTCTCTCTCTCTCTCTCTCTCTCTCTCTCTCTCTCTCTCTCTCTCTCTCCCTCTTTCTCTCTCTCTCTCTCTCATGACCCTTCCCTCTCTGATTCCTGCCTCCCATCTTTCTTGTCTATCACTCCAGTCACCGACCCTGCCCGATTTTTTTTCTCGATCCGGTTTTGACGATCGCAATTGAGACAATTTTCCGTCTCACTTTTTTCCCTCCCGCCGTCCACGACCCTGCCCCCTCTGATCCCTACCTCCCATCTTTGCTTTGTTCACTCTATTCATCGGATCCCATCTGTGACTTACATATGTCCGATCCTGATCATAACTTGCAGGGATTTTTTTCCCGATTCCGATCAGAACTTGTAGGGAGTTTTCTTTCGATCCCCTTTTGACGATCCCAATCGAAGCGATCTTCCCTCTTATTCTCTTCGCTCCCATCCTCCACGACCCTTCCCCTTGTCATCCCTACCTCCCATCTTTCCTTTCTATCAGTTCACTCACCGATCTTGCCCAATTTTTTTCTCGATCCCGTTTCGACGATCCTAATCGAGGCAATTTTTTGTCTCACTCTTTCCGCTCCCACTCTCCACAACCCTCCCCCCTATGATCCCTACTTCCCATCTTTCGTTTGTATCAGTCTACTCATCGATCCCATCTGATTTACATATTCCCAATCCCGATCATAACTTGCAGAGATTTTTTTGTCGATTCCGACGAGAACTTGCAGGCAGTTTTTTGTCGATCCCGTTTTGACGATGTCAATCGATGTGATCTTCCCTCTTATTCTTTTCGCTCCCGCCCTCCACGACCCTTCCCCCTCTCATCCCTCCTTTCCATCTTTCCTTTCTATCACTCCACTCACCGATCCTGGCCCTCTTTTTTCTTGATCCCGTTTCGACGATCCCAATGGAGACAATTTTTCGTCTCACTCTTTTCGCTCTCGCCCTCTACGAGCCTCCCCCCTCTGATCCCTACCTCCCGTCTTTCCTTTATATCACTCTACTCACTGATCCCATCTGAGTTACATATTCTCGATCCCGATCATAACTTGCAGGGATTTGTTTTTCGATCCCGTTTCAACGAACAAAGAGAGAAGATTACCATACACTACTCTGCCCACCAATCCTCCCCAACTTGTACAACTCCCGCAACTGATACAATTCACAAACGAAAAGAAATTCACTCACCGAGAAATAGTAAAAAAAAAAAAAAGAAAACTCTTGATGACGATGATCAGGCATACGACAGAAGGAGGCAAGAGAAGAAGAGAAGGATGGAGGCAAGAGCTGACTGCAGCAAGGAGTAGCGAGGAGAGGAGCAGCGGGAGTGGAAGGAGGAGTGGGAGCAAGGCGATGAGGAGAGGAGAAGGAATGGTAGGAGAAGGACCAGGAGAAGGAGGAGTGGGAGCGGGAGGAGGAGGAGGAGGAGGACGAGACGAGGAAGCGGATAAAGCAGAGGAGAGTGGCAGGAAGGACGGGAGTGGGAGTGGGAGCTGGAAAACTGGGAATGGCAGAAAAATCGGGAACAGGAGGAGTGGGAGGCGGAGCGGGAGGAGGAAGATGAGGAGGAAGAGGTGAGGAAGCGGAGGAAGTGGAGAAAGCGGAGCAAGTGAAGGAGGAGAAGGAGGAACAGCAAGAGGAGTGGGAGGCGGGATGAGATATCCCCAATAGTTGAAATGGTAGAGAGAATATTAGCATGGCCCCTGAGCAAGGATGACATGCATAAATCGTGAGATGGTGGTAATTAAGAAAAAAAAAAAAAAAGGTCGAGCATGAGGACGACGAGGACGAGGAGGCGCTGAGGAAGCGAACTCTCTCTCTCTCTCTCTCTCTCTCTCTCTCTCTCTCTCTC